TCAAAATTGGTAACCCTCAAGCCGAAAAAAAATTTGGTTTTCACGAGACCGTACGAGCGTTCGCACAGAGAACAGGCACGCTGGTGTGCATATGTGGGTGACTAAGAATTCGGGTGTGTCTGCAGTAGTAAACATATGAACAACCTGAGATAGTGCGTCTACTCGAACATGGTGACCCAGTGCAGTGTAACGCGGGTATAACCCGTGGGCATAACACGAGGCCTTCACGTGAGATAGCTGGACAGGGATGAAAAACATCTGCGCATGCGTGACGTGAGCATGTTGAAGTTGTCGTTGGCGCGGTTTTCGATCGTTTGATTAACTGTGTATTCGTGGTATTTTGCCTTTCAAAGTGGAATGTAAGAACGCTATTTGAAAACAAGTTCTGCTAACTGTAGTCTTCGATATGTTAAACGTGTTATTTTGGGAAATGTTGTTGCTTGCTATAGAGCTAACAAGTTCCGGAATTCAATACTCGGTAAAGAAGCCCATTGTGAGCTTAATTTCTTTGAGTATAATTGATCTCTATCTTAGATAATAAACTGACATTGAAATTAATGGAAGGTAAACAGTACCATGCTTTAATAATAAAGGTGAATCTCTTACAAAATAGAGCTTTTTATCAAGGCGAAGCGAAAGCACACCTAACCTACACGGCTCTACATGAGCAAATTCAAATCGATGCATGATATCGCGTTACCCCATGCTTAGCTCAAGCACAGGTTACAAATTGCTTTACATATCACATCGGAAAAACTTAGCATTCGTTACAGTCCGAAGGTTGTATTGGAAATTATTGATTTCCCATAGCATGAGAGAAGCTCTCATGAACGCTGCCACTCAGCAAAAGCCACATGAGATCTACTGTTCTCGCGAAAGCGCTATCCAAGAGAAAAATTCTTTGGGAATTTGGAATAAATAGAAAGGTGCTGGAACTCAAAATGAAAACAGAAGCCGGAATCGCTTCAGGTTGAATGCTGACAGGGAGTTCGGGACCCATAGTGGTATGACCGATGAAATGGTTCATTGCCGTAGGGATTTGAAGAGCTTGTAGGACACCAGGGGTCTGAGGTGAGTTTTGTTTGATTAAATCCTAGATCCTGCTGCCCAGTAAGATTCCTTAAACAATTATCTGGTACACCCACGTCTGACTCAGTAGACTGGTTATTAAAGAAACAACCACTTTGGATGAATAAAACAATTTTCTAAGCATTAAGGTAATGAGTGTTCATGAGTTGCTTCCTCTTCTGCCAACAATTGCTGACTGTGAAACAGTGCTCAGAAAGAACCAAAAAGTGACATTACCACGTTTATGGTTGCGTGCCGCGGGTCTCTGGCACTCGCGCAGACGTTTTTTGTCCCTATCAGCCAGCTGACAGCCCGCATAAGTGGTGGTTTTGAGCGTGAAATCACTTTTCAGTAATTTGCGAAGTTATTATATTGGTAGAAAAAAGCTATGTCATCTTGAATAAATAACCTCACATCAAATTTGTAGGGAAATAGAAAAAGAAGTCAAATCGTAGAGCAGTCGTGAACGACACGAAGAAGATGATGATAATGACTTTAATTAAACTCGGATGAAAATGAGGCTTGTTAGGCCTCTAGCAATAAAGATGCTAATATACCGGGGAAAAATATATGAATAATAATTACAGAAATTGCAAATTACTTAGCTTCCTGGGGAGAGTGAGAAAGGACTCGACCAAATGAACAGAAACACGGGAAAGAGGAAAGGTTCACAATCAATAACTTAGACGGGTTTTTACATGTCAATATTGTAAAAATCAAATTACCGCGTTTAACTTCCTTGTGAATATGAACATCGCTGACTCAACCTAACTAACATTTCAATTCACGGAATGGCCATTGATTCAAATTTAAGGGTAAGACCACGCATCTTAAACGTATGAGCGAATTTTTTAACTAGATAACAAATAAACCGTGCGGCATTACTGAGATTTATGTTCTGAACGCCTACTCAATCACCAAAATTCACCCTCAAAACCACTGCCTACGCGGGCTTTGCATCAGCTGGCCCAAGGAAGCCCTCGTGTTATGGCCTCGTGTTAAGCCCTTGTGTTTTACCCTCGTGTTATACCCTCATGTTCTGCCTACGCCTTGAATTTCCGTATACTGCACTGTGTCACCGCATTCGAGTATGCGCACTTGATCGGGTTGCTCCTTTGTTTACCAGCGCAAGCGAACCCAAATTTTTATTCATACGTATGCACGCATGTGTATTCTCCTCTCCTTTTCCCCAGGGGTTCACCTTTTGCGTATTCACTGCTAGGATTTGTGCCAGCAAGTGTTCGCGCATGCTAAAAGTAGCACCTCGTACGTACGAACAGTCGTACGATAACAAGATTTTTCCGAGTTTTCACTAAATTTTTGGGCGTGATGGGTTACTAATTTTGATAATAAAGGAGCTTCGCTGCGCGAGCTGTGAGCTTCGTTATAAGTACTCACGCAGTTGCTGCTTTGCTACTGAACAGGGTGAGTTCTTAAAAATCATCGTCTTCATCTCATCTACCTCTCCATAAGACTAAAGCAAGATTCAAGTGATGATGTGGACGATTATTGTCCTTGTACAGAATGCAACAAATAGCCTGTCATTTGACAAGGATAATACAATTATTCAGTTGCTTGGAGCACCAATGGAAATGATAATCGATCAGATTCGTCGTATTTTACTTCTCCTTTCGAAAAAAAAAGAGGATTAAAATTCAGCCGCAGAGTAATTTAAAGGGTAATGAAGATAAGAGGGATCCCCAGCCCGATGGAATGTCCAGATAGACTCACCCCACAAAATCATATTTCGAGTGAGTTCTAATGAAAGCACCGCCTGCCCCTTCTTTATCATTTTTGTAGTTCGATGCAATAATCTTTTAAGTATTTTTTTAGTTATAGATTCAGTTCAACCGTTTAATTTCAGCTTCGAGTCAGTGGGGAAAAAGGCAAATTTTGTTTCATCAGTCTACTTAGTTTCAGTATCGGGCCCAAAGTGCAGAAACAAATGGGAGCTTTATTTTCTTTCGGGGTAATTTTACCAAATATTCCCTGCAGGGAATTGTTCAGCACACTTTTAACAAAGGCAAATATTTCTTCTAAAAAATTGCAATCATTTGTATCACCAATGCAAAGCTATGGGTTGCGCGCATTACAGTTTTGTATACAAAATCGTTCGTCGTTCCAAAACTAAAACTTAATATGTAAGAATATATCTAAGCTATGCTTTTCCTCACTTCCATTGTTTTTAGAGTTGCTTAATCAGCAAAGAATTAAAGTTTACGAAAAATAACTAGAGGAAATAGAAGATGTTATAAATGACCTTGGACCTTGACTTGTTAATTGATTTAAACATTGATTATTAACTGACTATTGCCACAAATACGAAGGCACTTCTGATCAAGGACACGTGTTTTAGATCACATTTCATTTTAGTGTAAGAAAACTTTTGTTCGTTATCTTGAGTTCGACTCGAGGTTAGCATTTGCACGAACACGGACAGTGTTAGCCATTTATTTCGTCTTGACTTTTATTTGCCGCACGAGAATATAACCTTCAGGTACTAAGACATCATTTTCAATTTGTATTTTGCTTTATTTCAATTGTAGTTTCTTTCTTGTTGTTGTAATTTCTCGTTCTCTGAATCTTGAGCAATTTGTGCAACGTCTCAAATATGATCGGAATGTTGCCAGAAATCGTCTTAAATCTTGGTTAATGTATTTTCGTTTCAGAATTAGAATATTGATAGGATATCCTTGTGCTGGCTCATCATTCGAGGTTGTTCATACCAGAAGATGATCTCATAGGGGTTGCAATATTCATTAATCAATCCATCCCTGCCTGTATGGGANGATCAAAATACTGGTTTTGAAAATTAGCCACGATCACGGCGCGTCAAATGAGTAATCTACGTCACGGTCCCTCCCATTGTGACGTAGATTACTCAACACACTTTTATATTTATACAGAAACCTCGTGAAATTTAGTGAAATAGTCTTAGTCTTAGTGTTATAAAAAGCAATATAGACG